GAGGCCCAGTAGCCGGCTGGGCTGTGGGTTCGAGTTCTGCGCGCCCCTCCGTCCTGGTCCCGAGCTGGGCCGCAGGGTGGTGCGTGGCTGTCGTCCCAGTGCTCTCGGAGGCGCGGGCAGGAGGAGCCCAAGTTCAAGCCCAGCCGGGCAATTTAGTGACTTAGGGAGACCCCGACCCCAGATAAGGGGGCGGGAGTATGGAGGCTGGGGTTTCAGTCCCCAATGCTGCAGGGGCAAAACAAAACGCCTCCCAGTCCCGCTTCCTCTCCCATTTCTGTCTCCGGGTCCCTGTCCCTTTGCCTGAGGTCATTTCCTCGCCGCTGTGTCGGGATTCCTTCTTTCCCAAGGCTGGCGGTGCCACCACCCGGGCGGCCGTGCCTGTTTGTTTGCCTGGCGGTGGACACCTGAGCTTTGTGTGCCTCAGGCTGCGGGTCCCTGTCGCCCCCTCACATGGGTTCCAGGGGACTCTGTTTTCCCCTCGTGAGGTCCCACGCCGGGCCTCAAGGACAGGTCGTCGCCTTGGGGAGGATGGGAACTTGTGACGTTTGAAGCGCTCAGCCCTTCGCTGTGGCGTCTCGCAGTCCCCTCCCTGGAGGAAGGGCCCCTCGTGCCTTTGTTGTCTTCTCTGGCGGTGCCAGGGGCCCAGTGGAGCGCTGTCTGTGGGGTGTCATTTCCTTAGACGACCATCCCCTCCTCATCTGCCCCCAGGACGGTCCTCTTCAGCACAGACCACAAGCCTTGGGCCGACGTCATTGCCTGCAGCTACGAGGCACAGCACAGCATCCGGGACCTAGGGTCACTGAAGGCCTTCCTGCTGGCCGGGACCACAGTGACCATCGTGGAGGAGAAGGTGGGCCGAGGAGGCGACAGCGCTCAGCACGCCCAAGGACCCCAGCCAGCCTCTCTGTCTTTGCTCAAGGCAACCTCCTGTCCCCCAGATCCTCTCTTGGCCTGCGGTGACCCCTCCTGGTGACAGTCCCCTGGCAGCCAAGAAAGGAAAAGGAGAGAATGAAAAGAAGAAGAAGGGAAAAGATGGGAAAGACCAGAGAGGGAAAGCACAGGAGGCCCCTAAGGTGAGACGCAGCTGGCGGCGACACAGGCCTCGTGAAGGGCAGAGGCGCCCGGCTGTCCCCTGCCCACCTTGCCGCGCTCCCTGCAGGAAAGAGATGCATCACACAAGAAGAGAGAGGCCCCCAAGGAGCTGCGCCAGGACCCTCCTGTGCTGCACGTGCTCGGCAGCGGCCTGGTGGCCCTGGAGCCCCTGCTGGCCAGGGAGCCTGTGGTGTCCACTGTGTGCAACTTCGGGGTGGTCCGCACCCTGGAATCAGACCGGCTGACATTTGCCAGGGTACCGTGGGGCCCAGTCACGTTCCGTGTCTCCACTTTTGTCCTCCTCACAGGGCTGGAGGGCAGAGAGGGGATGTGGTCGCCACCTTGGTGTGGCCCACATTGGGTGCCTCACAGCAGTGGACCCCTGGGGCCGTGGGAGGGGCAGGAGCCCTGGGACAGCCTGGGTGGGCAACCGCACCCACCCCTCCCCACCATTCTCTCTCTCACAGGACTCAAAGAAGATTAAGAAGGGTGCCAAGAAAGGTAAGAGCCCTGGAGGGGGCAGGTGACAGGCGGGTGTGCGGCTGCCTGATCTTCAGCCTTGGGGCTCGCCACAAGGGGCCCCATCCACCCCAGGGCTGAACCCCATAGCCTCCCTGCTGCCCCCAGAACACAGCCGCAAGGCATCCTGGGTAGGTGCCAGAGTAAGGTGGGGTGCAGGGCTCAGATCTGGGGTTCTAGGGTTCTTCTGACTCCAGCTCTCTTCTGCCAGACCCGGAGCCCAGTGCATTAAGTGCCCAGTGAAGTTTCTGAACTAGATTTGAGTTTGAAAAGACTCTGGCTTGGATGGAGAGATAAGAACCAGAATCCAGCTGGGCAGCCACTGCAAAAATGTACACCTGGGCAAGGTGCTGCAAGCCTGGAATCCCAGCACTTGGGGAGCAGAGGCAGGAGGATTGCCTTGAACTACATACATAGTGGAAACCTGTATCAAAAAACAAAACAACAAAAAGTACAAGAGAAAATCATAGTGATAATAGGGCACCAAGTAATCCAAATAAGCAAAAATAATCCAAACAAGAAATATTTGTAACTCCCAACCTGCTAGATATCTGAAATTTGAGTTTGTGTTCTCTAAAATCAAAGAATGAATTCTAGGAACAGAGGTTAAGAGTAAGGAATTTATGTATTTTGGGTACTGGGGATCGAACTTGGGTCCTTGTGCTTGCAAGGCAGGCTCCCGAACCACTGAGCTAAATCCCTGGCCCTGTTTATTTTTTGGTTTTGAGACAGGGTCTCACTGTGTAGTTGAGACTGACCCGGAACTCACTATGTAGCCCAGGCTGGTCTCGAACTCACAGCGATCCTCTTGTGAGTACTGAGTGTGTGGTCTCTGCATTTCAGACCTCACCAGCAGGCCGATCTGTGGAGAGGGAAAGGCAGAGCTCAAGGCTTCTGTTTGGGGTGGCAAATGTACCGGGGTTCGACAGTGAGGGTGTGTGGCATTAGGGAATTCTAAAAAGCACAGGACTATATTTGTTAATGTGGTGAATTTTATATTCTGAAGCTTTTGTGGTACTGGGCGTCCAACCCAGAGCCACTAAAAATGCTAGGTAAGCACCCTAGGGTCACATCACAACCCTTTTCCCTTTGGTGCTGCGGCAGTCTCGCTAAGCGGGAATGCCATCACGGCGTGCTGGGAGCCTTTTCCTCACTGCCTGCCCTGCAAATCAGATTGAAAGACGAGAAAGGAGAAGTGATGTTGAAACATTTCAAAATGTGGTAGAAACTGCACATAGTAGCCCCAGAAATTCAGTGGACCCCACGTAAGATGAGCTGGGTGTAGTTGGCCACACTTGTGATCTCAGCATTTGGGAGGCTGAGGCAGGAGCATTAAACACCTAAATAAATGGAGAGAGAGACTATGTGCAAGATCAGAAGATTCAGTGTTAAGAAGGCTTTCCTGGAATGATCTAGAGATGATTCCATACCAGGACTAGGGCCAGTCTTGGCTTTTTTTTTTTTTTTTTTTTTTTTTGTAAAAACCAGCATCATATTTATTTTTTTT